CTGCCACCCACACAGGCGAGAGGCCGCCAGGCGGGCGGCGCAAAGCGGGGCGCGCTGCAGACCGGAGGCCCCTGCCGCTGGCCCCCTCTGCTCCCAGTGCTGGCAGCGGGGCGCTTCTCTCTCGGAGTGCAGGCCAGGCGCCTCAGACCTCAGAGGAAATCCGTCCCCTCCCGGTCTGTTTGCCCTGGAAGGCAAAGCGCACACCCTGGGCAGATCTGAATGCAGGGTGAGTTGACACTGTTGAACACACGACGTGCCTGGCTCGGTCCGTTTTTCCTGGACCCTCGTGACACCCCCCTGTGCTAAGAATCGACGGTGCTGGTTCACCCAGTGGGCAGCGAGGCCGTGCGGCACTGCCAGAGCCCCAAGAGGCATGAGAAGATTTCCTGAAGGATGACCCCGCGCCAGCGAGTGCGTGCCAACCGCTCGCACGCGGAGTCAGTGCGACTGGCCACTGCTTCCACTCCAGCGCAGGGCCCTGGCCCTCTCAGGGCCGAGACTGCGGGTCCTCGTCCGGCTGCCGCTGTTCACCTGATGCAGCGAGGCTCCTGGAGGCCGTGCCTGGCTGCACAGCGTGCAGGGACAGCGCGCCGTGGTCTGCTGGGCAGGCCCCGAGCCTGGCGTCCGGGCTGGGGGGCGGCCGCAGACGGCTTCTCCTGCGTGGGTGGCCAGCCCCGACCTCCGCAGCACCTAGCTGCAAAGCAGCTCTGCCACCTCGCGTGGCGTGCGCGGGACAGCCCGGTTGCGTGGTGCTGGTCCGCCACGCACATCTCCTTCCCTGCAGCCTGTTCCCACGTGCTCCACAGCACAACCGCTGCCTGGCCCCTGCCCCTCCACCCCGGGCCTTCTCTGCAGCACGCCCCCGCAGGCTGCCCTCCGGGAGGCCACACTTCCTGTCCGCTAGGGGTCAGAACATGCCCGCACCCTGCGCACAGCGCTTCCGAAGCCGAGCCGTAGTTTCGCAGGCTCTGTCCCTCTCTTCCTCTCAGGCAACCACACAGGGCTGGCAGTTGTTTGTGGCTACACAGCGAAGGACCTGCCCCCAAGGGCCTCTGAGCCCGTCAGCTGTGCGACAGGCCCTGCTCCCAGGGCCTGTGGGACACCAGAGCAGCAGGGCGCGGCGGCGAGCCCTGGCTGCGCAGGACTCTGCAGGCAGGTCCTGAGCGAGCTTCCTGCAGCACAGAGCCCAGGCGGCCAGGGCACCCCGCCTGCGGACACACTGCGGGAGCTCCCTCCCGAAGCCGCTGCTTCTGCTCTTAGGAGGGTTCTAGAATCACAGGCTGCTGTTCTCAGATCTTTGTAAGGGCACATGTAAAGCTCTCTCCTGGTTCCAGAGCTTAGCTTGCGAAAAGCCTCCCTCAGCTTCTCAGGCAGGAGACTTTCAGCCCAGGGCTTCTGTTCATTAAAAGCAAACAAGCCAGAGAAGTTCTAAGACTCTACAGCTACAGAACACACTGGAAGCGCACGGAGAAGATGGACCTGTTGGTTAGGTTGCGGTAAGTACAACGAAGTGCTGGCTGTCGGGGGCACTCACTGAGAAATTTCTTCGATTTCTCTGTGTGTTTGCAATGTTTCCTAATGAGATACTGCAGCAGGAGGACGTCTTTGGAGACAGCAAGTGACTGAGAACTTTTCCAAGGAAGGGCAGAGAGCAAGGTGAGCTGGCACACCGCCCAAGTCCGGGTCATCCCCGAGGAAGAACGAAGTGCCAGGGAGAGCGGTCACGCCGGCAGAGGCCCTGTCCTGTCCAGCAGCTGGCCCAGGATTCGCCCCTGGGCGCAGCCCTCGCCCAGACCCTCCATCCTCCAGGACAGAGGCTCTCAACCCCAAGCGCACCTGGCGTGTGGAAACCCTAAGCGCGGACCCACACCCACAACTGCTGAATCAGAAGCGCTGGGTGGGCTTCGAAGCAGGGGCCCGCAGGCCAGGCCTGGAGACGCTTCGAGCCGCTCACTCCTTACCTGACACCTGTTGAGAGGTCTCTGAGAAGGTTCAGAGGAAATCGGCAGCACCCTGCCCCCACAAGCAAGCCAAGCGCCCAAGGCCGGGCTCGCACGAGCTCACCGACACAGGTCCGGGGAGGCGGGGGCCGGGCCCGGAGCC